ACATGTCCCTTTGATTTCAATCTTGGCCTTAAGTGTCTGGCTTAGTGATGGCAGAGCTTGGCACAGGTCAGAGGCACATGGCACACAGTGAAGATAACAGCCCATGATACCTGAATTAGCCAGTGGCTGCTGGGATCAGAGATACTATTTCTGTTACAAACTGGCTGTTTCGTTATCCTGCTCTATTGACCAGGCCCTTGACAAGCCAACTAGGAAAGAATTCTGTGATCCACCAAGAGTTGCCCACACCTCTTGGGAGATCAGCTGGAAGAGGAGCAAGATTCTTACCAAACCTTAAAAGTACTGATTTTTATTTAGGGCTGTCAATTTCCTATGGTGTATTCTGTTTCATTCTGCTTAGAAAAACTGGAAGATCTGTATGAAATCAGCATTTAAAAAACCCTAAGTATCCAAATTTTTTCACAAAATCCAAACTCAGCCTCTGTTTAACCTCAGGAGCCAGGAGCTGTCTCTGCTCAGCCAAAGGCACTACCTCAGATGGATTTGTTCAGAACTTACAGGCCTGAAGTTGCCATGAAAATGAGGCAATGCACCTCAGCCCCTGTAACCACCACGATTTACCTTTTATGCATCTTTAAGCAGGATGATATTTAGTTTGTTATGAGAAAATTAGCTGCTGTACAAAATGACTTCTTGCATTATGAATCAGTAATAATTTCTCTTGTACTCTGCTTCCCTCAGGACCAATGAGAAGCAGAGAATGCAGGAATATTTGCAAGAGATGCAAGAAATGGAAGAAAGGGTAAAACAGAGGCCATTGCTTCTTGAAAGAGTCACTCAGGTTGCTTTGCTTCTGTATTCCTATTTATTCTTAACTTCAGATACTGAATAAGACATTGGTAGTCAAAGATACTTAGAAGATATTTGGAAAACAGTTTTCAGGAGTATTTAGCCATTTCAGTCTCTGTTGTGTCATCTCCATATAAATATAACTAATTTTTGTGCTGAAGCATTCATGGCTTGCACAGGGAGCTGAGGTGGCTGTTGTAAATGGGTTGTCCAATTTGGTTACAACACAAGTAACTCTATATACAGCCAAAAATTGCTAGTGCAGAAAAGGAAAATCTGGTATAAAATTTTCAAGTATTGCTTTGCCATTATTATGTGCAGTGACTAATCATTCCACCTGTCAGCTGCAATTAATGAAACAAAGGATTAATATAAATTAAAGTATCAGACATCAGGCATTTAGTGCATTAGATAACACATAACCATTGTGGTT